GAGGCGGATGGGCTACAGCAGCAGAAGAGCACACCGGGTGCCGCTCCTGTCAGCTAAGAACAGGAAACTGAGGCTACAATTCACACAGACTCACCAAAACTGGACAATAGAAGATTGGAGAAACGTTGCTGCTCTGATGAGTCTCCATTTCTGCTGCATCATTCGGATGCTCGGCTCACAATTTGGCCTCAACAACATGAAAGCATGGATCATCCTGCCTTGTATCAGCGGTTCAGGCTGGTGGTGGTGGTGTAATGGTGTGGGGGAGATTTTCTTTGGCTCCATTAGTACCAATTGAGCATCGTGTACCTAATAAAGTGGCCAGCGAGTGTATATAATAGCCATGAACAGCACTAGATTAAAATAACATGATGAGAGGTAATAAAAAAGACATTTTATTGTTTTTTCTGAATGTTTTTTGTTTAATTTATCTGAAGATGGTAAAAATAGACTGAAAAACAATAATAATCCAACAAAACGGACAAACCATAATCATGTTCTCGACTGGCAGACGCTCACTTGCACACTTTATTTTCCATGATTGTAGCTGATGAAAATCTACTGTAATAAACAGAAGAGTTCTTCATCATCATCTTCATCTGTTTTTGCTTCTTCCTCTTCCTCTTAACAGTTTTTTCCCTCTTCCTCTTGTTTTCCCCTCAAACACAGATCGAGCGGTAACCATAGCGACACCCTTCCCGGACTCCGCCTCCTCCTCTGAGCTGGAGCTGCTCGACTCCGCCCTGATCTGCTTGGCTCCACCCCCCTGTGTGCTGGTCTGAGGGTCTGAGCTGATGAATCCTCCAGCTAGCGGCCCCGGGGCCTCGTCGGCTTCGCTCCGCCCCTGTTTCTGTGCAGACACTGACTCGTCCTCTTCTTCCTCTTCTCTCTCCTTCCTCTTCATGCAGATGACGGCTCTGCGCAGACGCTCACTGCGGATCTGCTGACGATCCTGCTGCTCCAGCCGGAAAAAGGAGTCGATGCGCAGCTGCGTCTGCACACACACACAAACAAATCAGCACACCACAGCACTGACAGCTAGTGTTCGCTTTTAGGGCAGCAAGGTGGCTCAGTGGTCAGCACTGTGGCCTCACAGCAAGAAGGTCACTGGTTTGAGTCCCAGCTGGGTCAGTTGGTGTTTCTGTGTGGAGTTTGCATGTCCTCCCCGTGTTGCCGTGGGTTTCCTCCAGGTGCTCTGGTTTAAATGCAAACACATGTTTCCCAGTACTGGGTTGCAGCTGGAAGGGCATCTGCTGTGTAAAACATATGCTGGAATAGTTGTTGGTTCATTCCGCTGTGGTGACTCCTGATGACTAAAGGGACTAAGCTGAAGGAAAATGAATGAATATTAGTTTTTAAAAGTGTAAGTGGATTGAACTTAAGATTGATTATTTAAATTGTTGCAAAAATAACTCGATAATTGTGTTGTTTCAGCTCAATTTTAATAAGTAGTTTAAATAAATAACAAACGTCATTTTCTTGTGTATCTTTAGAATAATTATTCTTTTTATTAGTTAATGAAGTATAAGTAAATAAGTATAATTAAATGAATAATTATAGTTTTCAAAAGTCTATTCTGATCACCAAAGCTGCAGTAAATTAATTAAAAATAGAGTAACAACTTTGAAATATTTTAAACATTTAAATATTTTAAATTTATAAATAAACAAAACATTTCTATTAGCATATAAATATATACACACTGTTAATTTGTATTAAGGCAAAGCTAAATTAAAATAATATCTATTTCAAAGATGCACTAAATTAGTCAAAGTAACATTAATAATATTATTAATTCATATTAGTTATATTCTTTTGAATCCATAATTCAGCTCTGCGAGTGTTGATGCTGGCTTCTGCTGATGAAAAGGCAAACGATCCTCAGTCACTTTATTTTGATCGACTCTGCTTCATCTGACACACTGGTCATTCATTTATTTTCTTTCAGCTTAGGGGTCGCCACAGCAGAATGAACCACCAACTATTCCAGCATATGTTTCACCGAATGCCCTTTCAGCTGCAACCCAGTACTGGAAAACACCCATACACACTCATACACTACGCCAATCTAGTTAATCAATTCCCCTATACCACATGTGTTTGGACTGTCAGGGAAACCGGAGCACCCGGAGGAAACCCATGCCAACACCAGGAGAACATGCAAACTCCACACAGAAACACCAACTGACCCAGCCAAGGCTTGAACCAGTGACCTTCTTGCTGTGAAGCAAGACTGGTCATTGTTGGATTAAATATTGGGTCGTTCCCCAACAGACCTGTTGTGATTGGAGCTGTTTGAGCACCGGCTGCAGCGTCTCCTCCGTCTTCCGACTGCTCCACCCGAAGCGGCTCTGGCAGAACGTTACACAAGTTAAGGAACTCTGGATTCTATACAGACATGCTCAGGTGTGTGTTAAAGCCACAGTACACCCAAAACTGATCATTCTGTCATCATTTACTCACTCCTTCACTTGAACTCAAACAGTCAAACATCAGTGCTAACTTCACTTTTATCAGCAAACACCACGTCACAATAGAGTGCATGATAAACCAGATTCACTATCGTGTCGTTTTGTTAAATAAATGACAGTAAACATGGTAAATACTAAAAATATGTTCTCTATTTTTTGCTCTCTCTTGTACAAACTTGCTTAGAACTTAAAGAGATAGTTCACACAAAAAAATAAAGTAAAAAAAAGTTGTTTAGAGAAGTGTTAGACACCGGTAACCATTGACTTCCATAGTAGAAAAACAAATATTATGGAAGTCAATGGTTACCGGTTTTCAGCATTCTTCAAAATATTTTCTTTTGTGTTCAACCATGGAAACACCACTAAAGACTGAGTACATGTTCATTTCTGTGTGAGCTATCACTTTAAGGGGACAGTTCACCCAAAATGAAAAATAATGCTGAAAACCGGTAACCATCGACTTCCATAGAATTTCTTTGTCCTACTATAGAAGTCAATGGGTACCGGTTTCCAACATTTTTCTAAATACCTTTCTTTATGTTCAATAGAATAAAGAAACTCATATTAAGATGTAGAAAACATTTATAAATAGTGAGTAAATATTCATTTTTTGGGTGAATTATCCCTTTATAGTGATTGACAGGCATTATTGTAATCAGGCATATTTAAGTCAACAATAACTAAACTAAAAACTCAATATGGCAATGTCAGATTATTATTATTTTTTTTTTACTAATATCACAGCAGGTTTTGGAGAAGGATATTCTTTGATGAGAT